TTCTCAAAACAAAAACAATCAGCTTATCTTCTGCAAACATTTCTCTTACGGTAGCTGGTACTTACAGTTGTAGCTGTAAAAAACTGCTAGCCATTTATTTTGTCTTTCTAAAGAAAGGACTATGGATTTTCATGTCTTCCTAACCATACATCAAGAGTGGTTCATATAGCACATCAAGTATATGAACTGCTGAATGACCTATTTAAATGTGGCAGAAAAATCTCAGGATTTCAGATTTATTTAGAGTCCTCTAAGGGCTCTTAAGAAAATACGAAAGTCATGTTAACTTGAAGAATATCTTGCAAGCTCTTCAGCAAGGTAATGTTAGTATTACCAATGTAAGCTCTGCTATTAATCATCTGTAAACCAATTACAGAATGACAGAGCTAGGGAGAAGCTGCTGGTGGGCATTCCCCAGTTGTATTACTGCATCTCTTTTTCAAAAGCCTCTGGTACTTTGTATTATCAGAAACAGACCCAGGGTCTACAGAAGGAAATAAATTGGTCAAGTTATGCAATTGCTTTTTTCTAGTCAGCATTTATCATCATTTTGCATAATAACCAGAATCAGTCATTTTTAAAATAAATGTCCTTTTTGTAAGGTTAGTAAATTATTTATTGGTGACCACATTAGTTCTTTTTGAAGGAACGGGTGTAAATAACTCATGCATACCTTAGTAAAAGTAAGAGAGTGTTTGTATCAATTCTGTTGATGGCATGTAACATGAATGAACTCATATGTCTGAAGTTAGATACCTAAATTCCTCATATAAATAATATCTCAGTGTGAGTCCTACCGTTCTGAATTTAGAAGACTAAGGGAGAAGCCCATCAGGCTAAACATGATACCTTCAGCTTAGTATATGTTACGTAGTTCCTGTCTTTTACTCCATATTTGTTTTGGAGGCTCTTCTGCACATACAGCGTGCAGATAAACCCAGTGAGGAGTTGAACACCGTCATGGAAGAAGTGGAGTTGGGATGTTCTTACAGCTGAGAGTGGAGTGGAGGCAGTTCACATAAGCACGTGCTCACTTCAAGTTCATACAATCATTCTCTTGAAGCCACCTGAATAACAAGCCAGGCTGAGCTCAAGATTGTGTGGAAGTGAGACCAGCCATTGCCCATGTGATGACTGTGTCCAGACAGTTTGAGGCATTGACAGAAAAAAAGATGTAAAGCAGTTCACCCTGAATGCCAGTCTAGTTATTCAAGTCACTGCTGAATCCAGAGGTCAGCTCAACAGAATCACCAACAGTGGACTGGATGGAGAAACTTTATTGTATTACCTTAGCTGCAGTAGAAATTATTTTTCTGAATTAACCCTCAGTTAATAACAGGTGCCACTTAGTTTCAGTGGGACCTAGATTTTAATTGTAAATATTAAAGGAATTCAGAAATAGGTATTGAAATTGATATGTGTTGTATAAGGCATGGTGGAAGCCACTGTATTCTTTATGAAGCATTTCTTACCTGTTATGGATTTACATATTTATTGAAGGCTAATTCTTTGTGTGAATGAAGCATTTAAGAGTAGAAAAATGTGTCTTTGCTTCTATGTTGGAAAAAAGATCAACAGTCTACAAGTAAGATACCTGAGCACCTGTAATTGTACAGGTGCAGGAGTGCAGCTACCTGCATTTCAGGATATGAGTTTTTCTGGAGCTTTACAACCACATTTCTGATTCTTCGCAGCTTGCAAGCACCTTGGTTCAAAGTAGAGTCTGCTAGAGAAGATTCCTTAGGGCTGTTTCTAATGGGGTTTAAATAACTCCAAGGACGGACTCTCCACACTGATCCAGGCAATCTGTTGTTTTAGTGTTTCACCACCACAGAACAACAAAAAAGAAATTCCTCTTTCATTTTTCTTCTAGTACCAAGGAGTTCACAATGAATGTGTTAAACCAAGAAGGGAGGAGGAGTGCAAAAAAGCAGCGCTGCTTAAACAAGCATTTGGCAGGAGTAGAACCTTCCAGAATCCCATTGGAGAAGCCAATTGTGTGTTACTATCTTAGCTACATATTTGAAATTTCATTTCCCAGCCACAATTGGCTTTTTCAGTGCGCTGGATAAACCAGTTTCGTGTACTTCTTATATGTTTTGTTATGAGGAGAGGAAATTGGCAACAGGAAGCTACATTTCTTGAAACAACCATTTCAGCTTCTTAACAAGAAACATTTGATGTTGTATTGCTGATTTCACTGAGTAATTTGCATATTTATTTCTCGCACTTAGTGACCCACTTCTGTTAGAATGCATGCAAATAAATGTTTATTCAGGACTATTCCTATGTCAGTATTTTAACACTTATCTTTTTCCCCAAGTGCTCACATTAAATGTTTCACTTTGTCTCCACCGTTTTTCATGGTGATTTCTTTTTGCAGGGTTTGAAAAACCAGGCTCGGGTTAAACTGAACATAGTCAGGTGTCCTCCAGTAACCACTGTCTTGATCAGGAGGCCGGACCTCAGATATCAGTTGGGCTTCAGTGTGCAAAATGGGATTGTAAGTAGCTTCCAGGCTTCCTGCGAAGCACATGTGGTAGTGTGGGAAGAGGGAAACTGCCATTTTCTCCATCACAGCATACAGGACATTGCACATGTATTAAGACTTAAGATCTAAACATTCCGTTAATCAGAGTTATTTTTATCTTTGACTCTGCTTAATCCACAACTTCAGAGTTAGGGAAACAGATATAGATGAGAGAAACAGAACTGTGTATGTTTCAGTCTTCTTCGTTTCTGTCTCTGACGAAGACATTGTACATTCTCAAAAGAAAAAGACTATTCTACATCCATTTTTGCAGTAAGGCATCTGCATCCCTAACACTGTTAAACTGTGGTCCTTCCTACACCTTTTAATTGCCACACTAGAGTGCATCTGACATGCACCATAAATAGCCTCTTCTGACTGTTGTATTATTGGAAGAGAATATACAGCAGGTATTTGCTGCTAACAGACCTTATTTTGAATCGGTGATAAACTGCATTTTAGAATCTGTTGCAAGCCTATATTGAATTACAATTTAGAGGTGAGAAGGGGTAGCTTAATGCCTCTCTTCCATATCTAGGCACTGATAAAATTGTCCTTTGCCTTCCAGATTTGCAGCCTTATGAGAGGCGGTATAGCAGAGCGAGGAGGTGTGCGTGTCGGCCATCGCATCATTGAAATCAATGGACAGAGTGTGGTAGCAACACCCCATGAGAAAATTGTTCACATTCTCTCAAACGCTGTTGGTGAGGTAAGAGCAGCGCAACTAAGCAGTATAATGTACTTCATCACTGTTACCTCTTTTAGGCTATTGCTACTCAAATCTTAACAGTGGAAGTGAGGGTAAGGATAATCCACCATTCCTTTTTTTTTTTTAATGCACCTGTAGTTCTCATGTGTATTAGATGAACTGTATGCAGAAATTAAGTGTCCATAATTTGATGGTGGTCAGTTGATGCTAATCACACTGCTTTGTAAAATCACCACCTGCCATATTTTAATAAGGGTACAAAAATTCTCAGGCTTTGCTTTTCCCTTCTGTCCTGTCTGAGCTTAGCTAGTTCCTTTGCCAAAGTAGTATGCACTTTAGGAACACTGAGTAACTTGTCTTATTTCCTCTAGATTCATATGAAGACTATGCCAGCTGCCATGTACAGACTGCTGACTGCACAAGAGCAACCAGTTTACATCTAAAGCTGACACTCACCGTCACAATGTGCATGGAGGATGTTTTTCCTCAATAGTGCTTGTCACTCTAGTGCTGCATTTATGTGTTTGCAGAGATGTTTATTTCTTTATCTCACTCACAAGCGTACTGTCTCTCTCTCCTCCCTTCTCCCCACCATTTTCCTGTATTTAGGGAATGGGCAAAATATAGCTACAGGACTATTTTGGTTGCATCTCTTTTCAAGTGAAACTAAATGCAGTTCCACATGCAAAACAGGAAAATAACAGCAGCATTCTTCACAGCAGGATTCACAAAAAAAAAGATTAATTCTAGTAACTAGGAGTTTTTGTGATGGTAATTTGACAAATTAAATAAGCTCGATGTTGCAAAATGAAAGATGTTTTACCAGACAAACAGAAATGTTGGAAGGAAAGTGTTCTCTTGGACATCCTGCATGTGACTTCACTTTTCTTCCCATTTTTCCATAGGCTTTCTGAAAGTCTGTAGAGGTTTACATCTGTAGGAAAAGTGCAATGCTGGTATAATTTTGCCCTCCAGAAGAATGAGTAAATGCTAGTGTGGTAAAATAGACTGTCCAAAATACTTCTTAATTACTCCCCCATCAGCAGTTTGTCCTGACTGTAGGACTCCAAGAAGTTATTTCTGAGATGCCTAAACATGTTACAATTCCATTACTTACACAAAGTAACTGGGGAGGCTTTTTTTTTTTTTTTACAACTGCCTTCCTCTCTCTGCCCCCAGGTTTCCAACTCTTTGTTCTGTTTTACTTTGTTTTTAAATGTAACATGTCTTTTATAGTCCCTTACCTGTTTTAGATGTTAAAGATAGGGGGGCGGGCGGGAGGATCTTTAAATATCTACAAGAGAAATAGTGAGGGGCTTTCCTGAATAGCTACACTTTTTCTAGGCTCTTATTTCCGCATTTGGTGCGCACAGCAATGTGTGCTGGTGTATATAGATGTTTTTAAAATTGTGCTTGCTATTTATGAAGTTTGAATATAAGAGATCTGCATACTATTCTAAGTAATTTTGTTCTCTGAGCCAATTTTAACATATATTTTTGTCCAAAGACTTGTCTAATTTTATTGACTTTCTCTTTAGTTCATGACATAGATAATAATCGGAGCGGTAAAGTGGGGATAAACATATTTATTTTAAGTTAAGTTGTGACTTTTTTTCCATTTGTATGGCACCTTTAGGATATATATGTGTACTATATGCACTTGTATGAAGATATATTGTAGGATGTATGAAATATAGGATTTGAGTGGCTTGTAACTTGCATGCTAGAGATAAAAGGGGGAAAACGGGTTGGGTTGTTTCCTTTTTTTTTTTTTTTAAGAATAATAATAAATAAAAGCAGTGACTTTTCTTCCTAGTGAGAGGAAAATTATCCATTGTTTGTAGTTACTTTTACCAGGACTGTATACTGGTGTTTAGACTGAAATTGTACCATGCATTTAGTCCAGGCTAGTAAGCTGGTTTTGTTTTACAGAAAGAGTTCCTGCTGCGTCATAGCGTGGTAGGAAGGCTTAGTGGGATGAGAACAAGAACAGGTCACACAGACCTGTCTGTTCTGTTTTGAAGATGTTCTCATCACAGTTACTTGTTTCCCTGTTACTGTGTGGTAGACACAGGTGCAAAAGAAGCATTATTTGCAGTCTGGTAATGATAGCTTGGAATGTTTCCAGAGATTGATGGAAGTGGATCTGTGTGTGTGCATAGGCACAGATGGTGTGCACACTGATGAGAGCCATGGAGCATAAGCTCCAGAGGTTCGTTTTTGGCTTTTAGATATCACAAGCTTCCATGGCCTGCTAAGAGGTAGAAAACAAAACTTTGTAGTTTTAGAGCAGTAAATACTTAAGGGAGGTAATGGAGTGCTGCATAAACTGGTATCGTCAGTGAATATGTTTTAGTCTTGAGATTAATGCAGAGTGATTTGTTTTTACTGCAGTTCTCACTGTTATATAGTTTAATTCCAATCTGTGGAATAACAGACTGCACAAGAGCGCCATGTTAGTGTTCCAGGTTAACACTTACCTCTGTCACCAGGCTGATGCAAGTGGATAATGGATGGCGCGTATCTTGTTTACCTGTCAGCATCTGGTTTATGGTGATCATTTGAATTTTTTTCAGAACTCTCCATATATATAGTAATATATGTAAATACGATATATATCCATGTACAATTCAGAGGATTATATACAGTGAAGCCTTTCCATAAGTTGCCTGAGGTAACTTGGTGAACTCTCAAAGACACAGTTACCGTGCTTCCGGGTCCTGCTGTGTTTACACTCAGCTTCACTCGTTTCTGTGCTTCTGTACCACTCACGTGGTGGGGTCTTTACCTGACTTCACTGCAAAATGCTGAAGACCTGAAAGTACGGAGTGATGAAACAACTGTTTTTTGAAAATCTTGCATCCAAAATTCTGCCAAGTTTTTGGCACTCGCGTGCTTTCATGGTACAGTATGTAGGCACTTAACATTAAGCAAGTGAATGCTTGTAGGATCAGTCTAGCAAAAAATACATCCTTCCAGTAGCTCTGTGTGTGTGTGTATGTGTGAGGTTTCTGAACTGGCAGGTCCGTAGTTCACACACACTGTTGGTTAACTGTCTTCTAACAATCCTGTCTTACCACGTAGAGGGAAGGGGTTTCAAAAAACATGCTCCGAGTGGAAAACTGGCACTTCTCTGGGCTGTTGCAGCAGTTAGTCAGATGACATGAATTATTAACAGACAAGATGGAGCAAACTGCTGCTTTACATTCCTTCTTCAGTGACAGACCTGAATTTGTTCTATTTCTCGCTGCTTTGTGCAGTCTTGTTAACTTTTTCTTCAGTGTTTACATTAAGGGTGAAACATCCCTTCTATTTTTTTATTGGCAAGTTTCTCACATTTGTTTTGAACCTGGCTCAAATTGGGGATTCAGAGTTTGCTTGTTTTCCTTGTTTTTTAAATAAAATATGTTTCTGAAGACAGCAATGTGGTTGAGATATCTTGTACATATTTAGCGCAGTACCTAGACTATGAAGTTATATTATTGTTCTGTAAAGAGGGTGAATAGAAATTATTGTAAAGCGTTGGGAAAAGTATAGTATTGTATTTGTAACAATATTGTTCTTTGTAAACATTTAATGATCTCTCTATATAAATACAAATATATATATAAATCTATGTGAGCCTGGAATGTTGATACTGCACATCTACTGAATGTAATTCCTCTGATGTTTCTTTGCCACAGGTTTCTGACCTCTGTAATGACGCTGCAGTGGTTTGATTTGGGGTGGGGGGTGGAGGGGGTGGAAGAGGAGTGGTTTTATTTGGGGTGGGGGGCCCTGGCCAGCTGTTCTGTTGTGATGTATGTACTGTGCTACATTCCTTTATTTAACAGAGCGCTAATGTCTGTAAGATTTGCAACAATAAAATACAAAACAAAAATACCTCAGACAAGGCTGAGAGTTTGCTCATACTAATTTTAGGGGCTGGCTTGCCAATACTGAGTGCATGAGTGCATGGAAAGTAACCAAACTTCTTTTTTGTTACTGAGTTTAGAGTAGTAGTAGTACATGTATTTCTTCAGATGTGAACCAATACTGTCAATTTTGTTTTTAAAGCAGTATTATTTTCAGTTAATAATGTTAAATGACACTAGTGCTTCTAAATGAAATTAATTTCTCACCTAATGTTGCATCACAATCTTTGCCATATGAGTTGGGTCTATGTTTGAATCTTCTAAAAGGAGGTAATTTCAAGATGCCTTTTGTATCATTCAGAGAAATACTATTCCAGTGCCTGAATAACTGAGTCTGGGGAGAGGGAGGCTCATAAACAAGATTTTACTAAATATTCTTTTTGCTTAATACAGTTTCTGAAACCACTGTTTTTCTGCTCAGGTCATCAGCATGATTTATTCTTAAAGGCCTAATACCACTTGGATAAGCAAAACTAAAAATTGTAATTGAGTCATAGAATTGGAAGGGGACCTCAAGGGTCATCAAGCTCCAACCTCCCTCCCTGCAGGCAGGGCTGCCAACCTCCACATTTAATAGTAGACCAGTCTGCCTAGGGAAGCACCTCTGCAAAAGTTTAAAAAATATTTGTATAACCTGATGCTGATTAGGAGTGAATGATACTTGAAATTCAATCAGCAAAAGCCAACAAAGGAACACTGCTTCAGATGAGCCTTCATAGAATTTTCTGTGCATTGCAGGTTGTCGTCGTGAGTACTCTTGAACAACCACACAACAGCTGTGTTGTGCTCACATGTTCCTGGGCCACGGGATGACCTCAGCTGGGTGGCTGTTGAGCAGGGAACCTGCAGGCAGCTCTTGGTGCCTGTTGGAGCTGATGCAACTCCTGCATCATTGCCTTCATCTAAAAGTGCAGCAGGAAGTTTATCTATCTGAACATCCTTTTTATTTGACAGTAGAAGTGGCAGATGGTGTTTTAAGAAAGACTTTTAGAACTTGAATAATGAAAACGGGGTAGTATCTGCATGGATGGGATCTGAATTAAATGTCTGTGCCCTGATCCCAGGCCAGTTATATACTGTAAACTTGGGAGTTCTCACATCCTGAAGGAAATAGGATAATCATTTCTGCCCTCATACTACATAGCATTCGTTGTCAGAAGCTGCATTTTAAATGATACTTTACAGGGCTCCAAGTGCCTTTTTTACAGCGATAACAATAAAGGGTTCTCTTTCATAATTTCAAGTGCTGCATAAAATGGCCAAACAGATTGTACATATGCCCCCTGGTAGACTTCCTTCCTCACTGTTCAGCAATCTAAGAGCTGTTAAGCAGTGATTTCTTTGGCCTCCACACAATATATGTAACAGTCATAGTGCATGACGAAACCTACTGATTTGGAGACCAGGATGTTGATGAGATTGACCTACTCAAATAAGAAGATGATAGATAATATGTAAGAGAATTACGTATGCAGGAATTATCCCTGAATCTGCATGCTGACCTTTTTTTGAGGGAATGCAGTAGCAATTCCTAGGAAGCAAAAGAAACTCAATGGTTAGTTAGCATGCTAGTTAGTTAGGAGAGATGGTTCGCAGACCTCAGTGCATAGCAAATAACTGCAGTACATAGGAGAAGGGAGCTATGGGTATTGCTTGAAGAGGGTGGCTACCTCTGTAACCCATAAAATAATCCAGAAGTGACCTTTTCTACTTTTTCCATATGCTTTTGGATACTCTTGTTTTCTCTGCTACCAACCTGGTATGACTGCTCCCCTGGAAGTCCTCACTCCTCAGCATTCCAGGCATTTGTAGTATTGAAACCTGGTGTTTGTTTTATATGTTTGTATTCCAGCTCAGACAAACAGTGTATCAATGGCTTATGCTAACTCATGCTTTCACGGAAGCAATTCAATTGATGCACATAACAAGAAAAGAAGGAGTTTTATATGTATGTTGTATTATGTATTTTGCATTACACCTGAGAGAAATACTAATGTGTTATTGTGATGTTTTCATTCTTCTACAAGACAAAACAACTTTTACTTGTTCTGCTCTTAATTCTGAGAGCAAAATGTACCAATATGACAGTGCATTTCCTCTACCAGGCCAAAATAAAACAACAAGTCAAGTGCAGAGATGACCATTTTATTTTGTCTTTCATAAGTGAAACTACAGTTTCCCCTTCTGAAAGAGCCTAACTAAAACTTATGCAAAGCCTTTAAGTTTTCAGTATGAAAGCTGTTTAGTAATTGTTAAATGAAGCTTTACCATTAAAAGAGCAGCAGGAGTCATCCTACCGAGACATAGAAGGCTGCAACTAGCCTTGCCTATCAGAACTATGTGCCTGATCCCAGCCTACAGAAATACACAGCGTATTCCCAGTTAGCAGCATAGATACAGAACAGCGCTTTACAAACTACGTGCAACCAACAGCTTGAGCCAAACTGCTTATATATATATGTCTACTAACTAGAGACTGTAAATTCATGGGTCACTATGGCCTAGTGGTTACAGTTGGCAAAATAGTATGAAGTAAGTAATCCCCTGCACACCTACAGAAAATCTGAGGTGGCTGCATAAATGCTTCCAGCATGGATGGCAGTTGATACTAGCAGAGGTGTTTTTTTATGTTAAGGTAGGACAAGCCAGCTAAAAATCAATAGAACTACAGTAGTATACATCACATAAACATGCTTCAACTCTGGCCATGTTCTTCTACAAGATATAAAGTGCACACATGAATTAACTGTGCTTGCCTGAGCACAGAAGAACCAAGGCAGAGCCCTTCTGCTTTAACACTTGTAAATAGAGTAAAAAAACAACAACTCTGTTCTAAGTGGCAGTAGCCTACGGAGGTGCAACAGAACAGCAGTGTATCAATCACAAAGACACTAGTTGCAACTAAACAGCCTAACTAGAAGGACTGCTTGCAATGTGCTTAAGAGAGCTTATAGAATGAGCTTCCCACTGGGTATATGAGGATATAAAAATGGATTAGCAACACACTTGTCCACTACTTGTCAGAGATGATTTTCTTGTGCCACATGTATGCCTGACAGAAATGCTCTATTGAATAACAGAAACCAACTCAAAGTACAGTTTCCCTGACGACTCCAATAAGACTGTGGGGCCGTTCATGTTCTGTCTTCTGGGTCTTCTTTTCCGCTAGCTGATCTTCACCTGTTGTGAAAGTGCTCAGATCACCACAGCTCTCCAGGTGCAGCAATCCAGGGTGCTGTCTGAAAGGTAGCACACGGGCCCTCAGCCCCACATCTTGCTGGGCAGGTGCCATCACCTTTAACAAGCAAACACAGATAAGGTTTTTTTCCAACCTCTTGTTCCATTAAAATGATTCCTTAGCCAACCAGGAAGAACCTAATTATAGCATTACTCATTTTCTAAATAAATAAATAAGCATTTCAGAGTAAAGCTGGTATTTGCCTAAGACAGATGATGGAAAATGTCCCATAGATTAAAGCAGTGAGTGTTGTCATTCTTCAGCTTCTAATTTTTTTTTCCTGGTGAATCCGCACAAGATTTAGTTCACCCCAAACCATTTTGTGTCAGGTATCATTTAAAGGAATGTTTTAGTCCAGCAGAAGCCACTCAACTAACAAGCTGCGAGCCAGTGTGAAAAATAAAATTCCCATCAGTATCTTTCAGCAGTTTTTGTCAAATTTGTTGTATTTTCTGCAGTTGGAAATCCTGCTACTTCCATAGCCTAAATCAAATTTTTAACGTGTTTTGCATGACAATTTAAATCAAAGCCAACTCTCACAGCAGATCATTCACACTCTACTTAAATCAACTCATTTTTCCAAATCCTTTGTAAATCAGCCAAAACATGTTTGATAAAGATTGCAATATCTAAAGCAACTGAACATTCACTCTATTAATGTAAGCACACCTTTTCTACCTTCTGCTTCCTTTTTTCCCTTACTACTGCATCCTATTTTTATTCAAGTCTTATATTTATTCTGGGAGCAAATTCCAAAAGGTTGTTTCTAGGGGGTTTCTATAACAATGTTCTTATCAGTCTCTGTTCCTGCCAGTTGCTTCTCCTCTCCCCCACAATTAATGACTCTGTTTGCAGTCTTCCAATCTACCCTGCTTTATCAACCACAAGGACAGAATGCCCCACAGCCTCACTGCCTCTTATACATTCCCTACATTAAGCTAAAGTAAAGCATTGGCTCATGAAGTAGAGTTAAAAACGTATACTCCCAAACCAAGGCCAGCCTGTAAGTAATAAAACTACCTGCTCAAGAAAGGTAGCACTGGTGATAGCTTCTGCCATATGTTCCTCATCCGATTTTAAAACACATTTGATATTTTCCACCAACTCATGTATGTCAGGGGTCATGCTGCAAGAAGACTGCTCCAGAAACCGTGCCACAAGCAGCTTGGTGTCTATGTAGGACTTGTAGTCTACCAAAGATCGGGGTCTCGACCTCAAAGATCTAGCTCTCAAACTGTTCCGCAGTGTGACAGTGCTGAGTTGTGGTTTTATCTCAGTCTGAGTTGCAGCCTCGCAGCTGAGCACTGGGCCTGAAGACGAAGATCAACAAAGCAAACAATTTACTTGGTTCACATACTCTTCAACAAGTACTCAGTAACACTTCCATACTAATTCAGCGTTGAGGCACTACAGAATTTAACCAAGTGAAACTTAAGTCTGGCGTGGTAAGGACATTGTTCAAGGCTCTCTTCGTTACTGTGTTTATTCACATTACAGAGAACACTTGTAAAATAACTACACATGCACTATAACTGGGTGCACATCATAGGGATGAGCACCTCTGTGACTGCTATTCTTCCATTTTGTATTGGTCAGTTCCTTCTGCTTCTGTTCTAATTGATTAGAGATGGGATGAGTATTTAGTCTTAGTGTTGACATGCAAAGCACGTTAAACACAGCTTGTGGGTTTCATGACCCTTCCTAGACTTGCTGTAACTTTCAGCTATTAACATATGACTGTTCACAAAATACCTAAAAATAATTGTTTCCCAAAGTGAAAGTTAGTAATGCTACAAAGCAGAAATTTAATTTAAAAAGCCATTTGAAACGACCTTGCAAGGACTAAACAAGGGACACTGGGGCATCAGTTCCACTGCCTTTAGTCTGAATAAAATCCACCTTTGGTCTAAATAATACCGATTTTTGGTCCTGTTAAAACTGTAAGAACATCTATAGACTGCTCAAATAGCTCTTTAAAGACGGCATTATTCTGAATACATCGCCACCAGGAGCAGATCCAAAATTTTCCAGCAAGAAGAGCACAAGCTAACTTCAAGCAGCTTCCTCTGTTAAAGCAGCTCTCTTCCCTTTCTGCAGTGGCTGCATATTCAGCTTCCACATCCAATCTGAATAGGCCTAACCCCTTATACATCAGCCCAAACACTTCTGGCTGACAGACTGCCTCTCCAGCAGAAACACACTGCTCTGCTTTCTCTGCTCTGAATAGGCACTGTGTCATTTAACTACTGCTTCAGCAGCAGATTCTCTGGGATGCGGTGGGGGAAGCTGATAGGAGGAAATGGGAAAACAGATGATGCAGTGGAGACATAAACACGTTCCACAAAATACTAAGAATACTACAGCATTCAAAACAAATGACCATTACAAATACTCCCCCATTTCTGTTTTGTGAGCACCAGCACACATCAACAGCTACTAGAGGGATTCCAACATGCTGCAATATAAACTGCAAGACTCCGGACTCCTGGATTTTAACTAGGCAGCCACACTAACAGCTCTTACACAGCAACTGCAGTGGATCAGAGGCACCTGCCTGCTGCAGACGCTGTTCCTAGAGTTGAAAGCCTACAGAGGAAGTAAAGCTGAGGTGTTGGCAGCAGTGCATGTGACAAAGCACAGCCTGCTTGCTGTGACGTAGGCACAGCCAGGAGACAGGAGCTGGCGTCTGTAGGCGGTGGGTTCAGGGTGCTAACGCTCTCTGACAGATGTTTTCCTAAGGACTCATTACCTAAGCAAGGACTAAGAAAGTCAAGTCACCTTGTGGCAACCGGCAGTGTAGCACAGGGTCACTTTTGGACCGTCTGTGCAAGGGACTGAAGGCTCTCCTGTGAACTTCAGCAGGCGTGGGGCTGGCAGCTGAAGGTGGAAGGCTCATACTGCCGGGAAACTTGGGAATTTCTTCACCTGAATAATCAAGAATAGCAACTGTGAAGGAAAGTAGTTAGAACAAAGCAGATCTGAGGGCATAATCATTTCAGATTACTGATTTTTTTTGCTCCCCAAATAGTTGTAATGATTGGACACAAAAGCTTAGAAATGCTTGTATGTGACCATCTGCCTGCACTCACCAGAAACACTCATCTGAAGTCTGCTCGAACTTTTACAGAAACCTATTAATCTTACCCAACTGGTGTAACAGCAAATACAGCTTTGCCTCACAGAAATTTCAACCTGATTGGAGAGAAGGGTGGCTTCCCAGAGCAAAAGCTAAACCTCGCAGTGCCTACAATTCTCCTGCATAAGCACAGAAGTACCAAAAGAAAACAGCATCCAGCCATAGAGGTCAGACACTGCTTGCAGTTATGTAGCTCATGAATCAGTCACCAAGAATTAAAGACCTTGTTTCATACCAGTGAATGGCACTGAATACCACCTGGCAAAATTAGGTCCTGACTGATCTCTACTTGTTGAGGATAGCACCTTACCTTCCACACAAATGCAATCTAGAATCTTTTAAAAAGGAAGGGGCAGAGCCTGGAAAGCCATGAAGCAAGACCTAGAAACAAACCATGGCAGACCAAGAGCTAAGGTGGACTAACTCTAGTGAAGCTGCGCTAGCAGCCACTCCTTTAGACACAGTGGTACTGGTGTTCTGGTGAGGGTGTTTTTTAATACTATTCAGAAGAATAAATTGATTTCATGACCTTAATGAAAATCCGTATTAACTTTACAGGTGTTAAAAGGAGTAAGTGGCTTAAAGCTGAGTGTGTACTGAAAATTCCCAGTTTGCAATTACCAAGGGCAGCTGCTGAGCACCCCCAGGCCTCAGGAGGTAGTCTTCCCATTACAATTGGCTGAGAAACACCTATTTGGCTTGACAGGGTCCCTCCTGTAGCTGGGATGCAGCTAGCTTGCAGGCAGCCTTCACTCCCAGTGGAAACTGTACCTTGCCCACCCGCCCCAATGGTGGCATCCAACAGAAATGCCTGGCACAGCAGACTGCCAGCATAAGCCATAACTTCACGTTTTATTTATAGACTGTTACTCGACATCAGCTGAGACAGCGGGTGGCGTTCCTCTGCCCTGGCTGCAGCACAGCTCCTTGCTCTGCCCCTCCCTGCCCCGGACACCTGTGCTGTCCCAGCCATGCTCCAGACTCCTCACTGCAGGTGCTCTGCCTGGCAGCACTGCCAACCATCTGCAGGGCAGCAGCACTTTTCTGGCCATGGCCCAGAGCACAGCACCTTTCAGGCTGCTATGAAGAAAACGAAGCAGTACAGACCCGGTACACATCCATTGATATTAATACAGGGGAAAGATACTGCTCAGTGTATTTTTTTTTCTTAAATTCACTGCCCGTGCAAAGCTGAGGCATGTAGAAGAAATATTGCTTATTATTTCTATCAGCGTGCTCACCTGCTTGCACTTGAACTCAGCCAGGCTTGGAGTTAAAAGTCACTTTACAGACCACTTAAAAAAAAAAATAAATAAATAAGGAGGGGCAAATAAACAAAAAGGATGAGGAGGAGAGTACAATGTGCTCCAATCTGGTTGCCTGTGAAGGAAGATTTTAAATACAAACACACCTCAAGCAATTCCTTATCATGGCTTTTTTTTTTTTTGTAAACTTTTCTGACTCTCCTTCACAACAAGTTGCCTCTTCTATAGTTTTTCTATTTTCTGTTCTCAAAACTTAAAGCAGGAACCATGCAGCCTCATGTTTGCTATCCTGTATCATTTTCTATATCCGCTGGTTTCTAAGCGCCCAGAGAAAGCAACTGCCACTATATCTACAAGAAGGCCTTCAGAACAAAACTTTTGCTATCACTTCTTTAAATTTCTTTCTGGCCATCACAACTGATGAAATACCAGAAGCGTGTGTTGGTTTTCAGGAGTTTTAGTTTGACTGCTGGAGTGTAAGGCAAGCCGGAATGAACTGTTGTTCAATTACAGTACAGTTTTATGGAAATACAAAAAACAAATCCTAAATCTTTTCTTTGACATTTGCTGACTTCCTGGGCAAGCTATAGAAAAACCTTGGTGTGAAGCTAAATGGTTGAAATTGTCCATAGAAGACAGTGGCAGGAGAAAAAAGAAGTTTTAGTGCCTTTTTTCTCAATATTCTTGTGGTGTGATCATTGTGCAACTGGATAAACAGCCATTCGTAGCACCAAAGACAATCTGTACAGCAATGGCAAGTTAAAATGGGAATAAATTTTTAACAGGCCTGCAGTGAAACAGCTGACTGTTGCTTACCTGGTAGCCAGCAATATTTTAACTGCAACTGCACACAGCAACAAATAGAAAATTTATGCTGAGAATAGCTTGGAGCAACTTTTACACAGTTTTCTGAAACAACGCTGAAAAATGTAGCATCCACTTGTAGTGTAGCCATGGCGGTAGGAGAGTAGAGGCTGAACCTTCCCACCAATATCCTGTTACATGCTGATGCCATGTGACAGATGGCAGCAGAGGGGCACTCTGACACAATGACGTCTGACATGGAAGTGCAGATGAAGCAAAGAGATGGCATTGAATTCCTCTATGGCACACAGTGACATTCACTGAACATTTTCAGAGCCCAACCAGTGGACGTGAGCACAGTGAAGGAGGGGGTGGTGTGTTTCAGCAGTAGCAATAGCAACCACAGGTCACATCTGTTGGTGCAGAATTTTACAAGCACAGCATGCTGGCTCTTATTCGATGCTGGTGAAAATGTACAGCTAACAGTGATGACTATATTGAAAAACAGTATTTTGTAGCTGAGAACTTGCTCAATCAAATAGTGTTATTGTGCTCTTTCTAGCTATTATAGTTTCCATGGAAATTAATAGGAAGCATTACACTTGGAGCAACCTACATATTCTTTCTCTTTGTTGTTTGCTGTTACCATGCTTTTTTTGTAATTCAAGTGTTAATCTCCATTCCTGCTGCCCAATCATAATTCTGTGTCTCTGGCTTTCAAAGCCAGACGCTGTATGAAATAATTTTGATTGGACAGAACTGTTCTACAGCGAATTTTAAAATGCTCCTACCTTGAGAGGCCTGCCTGCCACTGGTTTCTCCTGAATCAGCAACGATTTCCTCACCTGCTTCTTGCAGTCCGCTTTCCTGGAATAAAACAGAAAAGCTGAGGAACAAAAACCAGCACCATTTTTCCAGTACTTTTCAAGAACTGCACCATTCATCCAAGAGAATGAACTGTGCAGTGAATGTAACTGCACAGTGACTATGTTACTTGGGTTTCCCTCCACTGTGGTCAATTTCTATAATCAATCGTTATCATCCAGTTCTGCCAATTTCATCCTGCTGAGCAGTTCCAGCAGAAAAAAAAAGTATCTTTTTCAGAACAGCAGTGAGAAAGGATCAGTGAATATGATAGACTTTGATGTAGTCCCAAGTGGGTAGAGTACAGTCACAGAACAAAAGCAAAGCAGAAAGGCAGCACGACAGCCCTCTAAGATAACTTTCTGCTGCATATCCTGCTCCTTCCTCCATGCTCACATAGTTTTCTCCCATGACGCCCAACTGGGAGAAAGCTTTCAAAGTGAGCTGCTGATCTCACTCTTAGAGCAGACAGACAGATGACATTTGGAGACCCCTTTGAACCACACCTGCTCAGAGCCAAGCTGGTTCACCACAGCTTCGTAAGGAGGAGGTGGATCCATGGGGCAGAACACTTCAATGCCTTTAATCCTTGCTCCATAAATGTGCGGCAGTGGAATCACATCAGAGCCCAGCATCCTGTAACACACAACACAGAGCCATCAGCATGACATCCCCTTAGCATGGAAACAGCTCTGCCAGCACCTTGTGCCTGCTCCAGCTTGGGCTCTCAGTAGCAGCTCCTAATACCCACCAGAGCCACCAGACCCCAAGGGCAGGAGGAAATGGCTGCCAAGAAAGTGTTCCTGCAGCAAAGCCACCAGGATTTCTGCCCAGGAAGAACCAAGGCCAAGCCTGCTGCAGGTGCAGCTTAGCAAAGACCAAGGTTTAACTCACAGATCCAAATATGGGTGGGTGTTCAAAACACCATAACCCAGCTCTGATTGTCATGAACTATTAAATTCCTAATTATAGCTGAAATTCAAGATACTTCTAGTCTCATGTTACATGTTCTGATGCAGCTGCACAGGAAGAGGCTAAAGGTTATTTCTGCAGTGATGCTTGGCTGAGGATATTACAGGCGATCAGTTCACAAAGGCAAATTTGTAATATGAGGCAAATAAACCTCATGGTAAAGGTTACTTCTCAATTTTCACTAAAGAAGTCTTAAATACAGCTGAAATCCCCAACCTCTTTCTGCATCATCTTCCTCTCAGAAGGCAGCTCACAAGGGGAAGAATTCAGAGCATCCTCTGGAGAAACTCCTGTTAGCAAATGCTGTTTTTGGCACTGGGACAGTAAGGTGATGTACTGACTGCCAAGAGGAGCTTGCCTGCACAGCCTTCAGAGAAGCCTTTGAACCTGTCTGCCTAAGATTTTCTCTGCTTTTCCTTGCGTTTTTAGGTACTGACTTGGTCCTGAAACAGACACCTCAAGCAAGCAGGCATTTTGTTCTCTGGATCTTTTCCTGTCTTCCTGCCATCACTGGGATGTGTTCTGTCTACAGAGACAGTGCATTAAGGAGAGTCCTTCCCCAAGAGCCTAAGGCTTCTCAGGACACAAAGCAAACAAGAATGTCTATGAGAAGGATCCTCATGCCATGGTCTGAAGGGGCAGAGAGAATGGAAATGCCAAAAAATAGGCTGCTTACACAGGAAAGGAATAAAATTTGGAAAGGAAAAAAAAAAACCAAACAATAATAAAAAAAGATTTTGGTAGCTAGCCATTACTTTTTTTTAACTTAAAAGATGGGAGAAATATTTCAGCCACCTTCATCTGCCCCAAAAAGCTTCAAAACCATCTGAAGCTTTCCATCAGCTAACATGGATATTGCTCTGGCATTACATTTTTCAGTTATTCCACATACGTGTTGATCTTACAGCTGCTGCACCACGTGACCAAACAGATCTTGAACCTTAGTTTGATTTCATTTTTAAACACGAGCTGGTCTACACAGCTCAGTCAGATCTTGAAAATCAGTGCTGCACAAAAAAATTTTATTGTGTTACATCTCATTAGAGAATATGCAACCAGAAAAGCATCCCCTTAAGTGCACTCTGTTCTCTGCCTCCTAATTTCCACTCTCTCTGCAGAGATTACAGAACCAAAAGATTTAGGTGCACGTGTGAGGAAACATCAAGTACCACCCTTGCTGAAATGCTGACACAGGGTTTTGGAAGTGGAATGGGGAAGAGTAGCAAAGGTTGTCCCTGGGCACCCATGCAGGGCACTCTCAGTGCAGGCAAGGGCCCATCTTTGCCACCTCCTGACCTCACACCTCCACCCAGCAGTAGCACACGGCTCTGGGTTCACAGAAATGTCTCTCAACAGCAAGGCCACACAGAGCCACTGAGAAACAAGTGGTGTGGGGCCAGTCTGAGAGCACATCAGGTCTGAGAACCATGTGAGCAAACAGACAGGCACTTCAGCAAATGCCCAATCCCCATATAATAAATATTTTTAATTTGACTGAGGTAGACTTCTTGGTCTCCTTCACACTGCAGGTGCCTGGCCCAGGAAGGCAGGCGACGGGCATCAGAGTGAAGAAGAGGCCAGGTTACTCCTCAGCCACCCCACAGCCCATCCTGGTGTGAGCCTGCCCGGGAAGAAAAGGAGGCTGTCTGCTGCTGTGAATTCTGCACTGCCACGTAACTGGCCTCAGTGCCTTCACAGAAGCAGCCCCACTTCAATAAGCTGTCATCTGTGCTTAGATGTTATCAGTAAGATTTAATGCTATAATGGGTGAGGCAGCTGCATTATTCCAGATTGCAAAAGGCTGAAATACAGCCCAATGGCTCCTGCTGTGCTGAAAAGACAAAGAGAAACATTGCTGCACGAAAGATATGACATCAAGGCTACTGTGCCTGAGAAGGACGACAGCCCCTTCCCAGGATAGGAAGTTGTGACAAGCACATTTCAATAGACACCTCCGCTGCTACAGAGATGGCTACATGCACCAGTCTGTTAAACAAGCAAACACATTCGGTACTGTAGGAACCAACTGTAATTTATCAATTGTTTACAGTGAAGTTTGAATGGCTTTCTCAGTATAAAACTGTTCTCTTATCATTTTCTACTGCAACAGAAACTGTAACTACCTCAGCAAGACCTATGAGGTCACACGCACTGTTCCTGATGAAGCAATGAAATAAACAAAATGGTCCTGCACACTGCAAAATGTGAGAGTTTAAAATGAGTCCAGTGATTCAGTTTGCTTGAGCATCATGCTGTCTCTGCCTAGAAATATTCAGCCCCACTTGGGTAATAAACTAATAAACAAAGCCAGCCCACCAGTTACTATGAAAAGCATGTAACTACTGCAAAATGAAGAGAAACAAAACCCACAAGACCCCAATGAATTTCAAGAATTACAGAAACTAGTACGTCCCAGTAAGAAGGAAAGAGTAGCTGAGGCTTTACCTGCGACTCATTCGTGGAGTAAATGAATAAAATGTTGCAAAATATGATGGAGGTGGCACAGGTGGGACAAAATCTTCAGGGTCTGAAATGCGACCTTGTTCTTCAATTTCTTCTGCAGAAATCTGAGATTCATCCTAATCAAATGCAACTTCTGTTAACAAAGCTTCCAACTGAGATCTAACAAATTACTGAACTGTGCAATTTAGTAATAATGTTAGTATGACTATATCAGGCAGTGCCTTGCACTCACGTACTATGTAGGATCTTCTTGTTGCAAATATCTGTAAGTAACGCAGGGCAGCTGCTATCAAGCAAACTGTGGTGGTGAGAGCATTCAGGGCACAAAGAGCAAAGATAACTTTCTGAAGAACATGAAGATTATGGAAATAAAAAGATTAAATCAAGGTATTTGTAAATGTCAAAAGAAAGAAAAAACAACACAGAAAACACAAAGATGACCATGACAATTCTTAGTAAAATATGTGATGCAGACTTCTGCATTCATGACCTCCAGGACTATAATAATTTGCAAAAGCTTGTTTTGCCCTATAGTGTTTCCTGACAGAGATCCAGGAGGCTTTAATTATACTCAGATGTGACTTGTAGGCTACCTATTTATCCAAGAATTACAGTCTTCCCCTTAGCTTTTCTGTGGGAAATGCAACTGTGAGATAATCACCATCAGAAATGTTAAAGCTCTTTTATAGCTGAAGATGACGCAGCCTTGAAGTTGTATTTTAGTAGTTTATAAGGTAAGAAGGACTGAGATTACCAAAAGAGATGACAAAGGCCTCTAATCATAAACCTAACCTTAAGCATCTTTACTCATGCAGTCTCATCTGAACCAAACTGCAACTTTGATTGCATAAAGCACGGAAAGAACAAGAACTCTATGTTGGATCATCTTGAATGCACTGTTCAAGACCCAGAGATAAGCAAAAAACCCCAAACCTTCTATCAGTATATAAGACCACAAGATAACAGAATTTTTCACAATGAAAAACACTTCAGCACTGTTTGACACAAGTTCAGACTTTATCAAAGCAGTCATTTTAGTCAGCAAACACATGGTACCTTGAGAAGGACGTGAACAGCACTGCATGACTTCACTGGGTAGAGCTTCAGCACATTCTCTTTTTCTGGGCATTTAGAGGGATGAAATTCTTCACAGCAGTAACAGACCTTCTTTTCACCCACAACCACCTTTAAAGAAACAAATAAAAAAACCCCACTTTTTAAGGTATAAGCTGTTTTACACAGCATTTTTAGCTGCATAACACAGAACCTACATGTTAAACTGTATCTGGACTTACGAAATTAAATTTGTTCAGTATGCCCAAGATTAATGCATCATAAAGCTCTATTACAAACATCCCTTACCTGAAACAAAACATTAATACGCTCAAAACATTTATAAACAACTAATGCTATAGTGACTACTGAACAATTTTACTATCCAACCGCCTGCAAGTACATAGCAACCTGGAAATTCTTTCTTGACTGACATGTAAGCCGTGCTATGTTTGAAGTGGATATATCTTGTTTGATTCATGGGTATATTCTGTATCTCTACAAGTGCATGATATCCAAACAGTAGTTTCAACCCAGTCAAACCAGTAATAGTTATATCTGCATACCAGTGCTGTTTACAACTTCCAAATTCATATTGTTATCTTAGTTTTCAAGTAGCAATTTAATGTTTCTTTGCCACGAAATAATTGTTTGTTTAGCTGCCAAATTATCTAATTACAGTGTGAAATGTTTTCCACCTACACAAACAGAGAATAATTCATGATTTCAGGAACGTCTTTCAACTGTACCCTATGCTGCTTCCAGCAAAAGAGTACTCTAAAATTCCTGAAACATTTAACCACTTTGTCTCAAATAACATTAGCAGTTCTCCATGCTGCTTCCATACAATGGTATCAAGTGCTTACAATCTTGGACTCTCACTGCACTAGGCTAACTGACATATTAAGGAACCAAAGACAGCTTTCTGTGAACCACTGAGCGAAAATTTACAGTTGAAGATCCTTCCATCAATCCTTAAAAGTTCTGCAACACACAATCATTTTTATTACCAACCGATTCTGTATCTTCCACACTAAGTTACTACACCGGCTCTTGCACATAAACAGACTTTCTTCTGCTTCTTACATCATCTATTTGACAAAAATCTTTGCATTATAGTGCAAACTGGATTTTCCTGCAGTAGAAGTGTTCTGCAAATCCAGTATGGCTTAATCTACCTTACTTTTTTTCTCTCATGGCTTTCACTGCAAGGTATGAACATGTCCCCGCCAGCTGGAGCAAAAGGGGAAAAACTTCACCCATGAGCTAATGAGTTAGCTCATTTATCTTTGTCAAATGACTCTAAAAATCCTTTATGTTCATTCTTAAGTGGTCTTTACATTAAAGCCAGTGCATAATGCTGGCAAGAGAAATTTTTTCAAGATATATTTAGGAACCTACTGCACAGAATTAGCTGTGTCTTCAGATGTTTAAGACAAAGGCCAGCTATCAATGAAGTCAAATAAAACCACTTCTGGGCCAATTACACTCTTTTAAAACCATTCACAACATACCTTCTGTAAGGATTTTACCCGTGGGAGATAAACAGCTTATGAAGACTCCAGACCTCCAAAAAGCAAGCATTTATAGACAGAGATAATAAAAATACTGTTGTGGATTTCAGCAAGTTTGTACACAAGCTGAATTGAGTCTAAATCTGAAGGAGCAAGTTGCCTTTTTTAATCCCAACATGCTACATTTTAATTGCCTTACTTGCATCTCAACATTAGAACATTTTGTGGTCTCAACATGCATAAATATATCCAAACATGCAAAAATCACTGTCTGCTCACCAGATCACATCTCGGCAGACTGGACACAAACTGAGCACCTTGACATCCCAGTATAAATCCAGCCAGGCTCAGCAGCACACAGATGACAGACAGCAGAACAAATAGGTTAACCTGAAATAGCAATGCAAAGTTAACAGTAGAGGAAACAGAATTTAGAAATCGGTGCAAGGAATTGATGGCAATGTAAATCTCACCCCCAAACTGAAGATGGGACTGAGTCTCCTCTTCTGGGCAATTTCCAAAACTCGCTCAGATTTCATTGAAGTGCTCAAACGTGTCCTACCTTAATCCAGAAGACTGTTGCTCTGAATGCCTTTATTATCTCTTCTGTCTTATTCTGTATTAACTGTGCAGTATTAAATGCATTCAACTACCGAAAAATGAGCTATTTTCTGGAGCCTCTATTTCTGCTCCAGCCCACTTTAAAATGGTTGAATGAACTTCATAGAAAGCAATTTTCTACAGTTCTCCAAAGTATCACCTGAATTGTCCAGATGCCCTAAAACAACCACTTCAGTAAAATGGGGAAATGCACGTCAAAAATCGTAAAGCATCTTAGAAGTTTTCAAAACTTTTGAAATCTACTGTATGTCATATTCTTTCACTGAATTCACCTCTCAACATGTCTGAATTAGTAAGAAAATGGAAGATGCAACATCTTGTGATAACACTGATCCTGCAAAGAATTTCCAAAGCTATACTGCAGCATAAATAAATGAAAAATATTTGTTAAAGTACAGTGAAGACACTTAAGCTTCAGCTTCGTGATTTTCTTTTCTCCTGGCTACTGAAACCTGAACACCTAGATTCATAAATCAGGCAGTATCTTCAGTTCTATAAAGTCTTTGGAAAAACAGCAACGGTGGAATAATAGTATCTGAAAAACTACAAGCAGAAGCACTGGATAAATTGAAGTCCTACCTTCATGCAAGACCTGACGATCTGCAAACCATACTTACACAAGACTATATGGATATGGATTTTAAATACAAGTCAGAACTTCTCCTCTCCTAATTCATACAGGCAAAATTTTTCATATAGGAGTTTTATACATCAGAACTGTAGTTTGGAAACAAATAACAGATTAATATGTCAACATGTTTACATTTTAAGCACTCTACTCTTGTTTTGTTATACAAAACAAGTACTAGGTCTTTCATGTCCTTGAAAGACACAAAAGAAAAATCCTTGCTAACCTTTGTGCTCAGATTCCTTTGTATGAGAACGGACTGACATTTTTAATTCAGCAATGACAAAAACCTGCTGAAGAGGTGAACCTGTTGCATACAGGCTCAGTTCTGCTCTAAGCAGCTTTACAGCAGTTCCTGCAACTAAGCCTTTCCAAACACACACAAAGACAGCAACAGCATTCTGAGCAAATTTAGCTGATGTATCATGGTTAGCTACCAAGACATTTTACCAATTTTATGGGGAAATAATCACTCCTGAACAGCCCACAGCTGAAGAACATCATAATGTAAGCTCATTCTTTAACTTACATCTCACTACTAGCAGATTTTACTCAAACTTGATCATAACACTTCTCAGAAAAGGAATGGGACTGTGTTAGACATGCTGCAATAAAAATTACGTGGAACGGCATTTTCAACTAGCTTTACACGTATCATAAAAACACATCAGAGTTTTTTTTAAATGATAGGATGCACTTTGAGTGCTATTTGTTTATCTTCAAAAACACAGAATTTGAAATTCGTTCCTTAGGCAGTGCTTAAGTGAACCATACTCTAAAAAGAACTATGGCAGACTTGAATAACTGAGATAATCCAGATAAAGATATAAGAAAAGGTAGCTCCTGCAAAGAAAGTTTTGTATCTGTGTTTCAATGCAGATCACTGTAAGCTAGAAAGTAGTTTTGTATAAGTGAACTAGAAGCTGCTGAAAGAAAACAAGGAGCATTTTATTCTTTTTCATTCTAAGGAGAAACAGAGAGCCCAAGTAAACAAGTTACTTAGCCAAAGTCACAAGCCAGTTAAAAAAAAATATAACAAAAACACAGCAACAGCACAAGAGGAGAAAAATCCAAATATCAGTCCTCTGCTTTGGTACAGAATCTGTAAAAGAAACAAGCCAGTATACAACTGTAAGTATATAACTAAACAATCCAGACTTCTAATGTAACAGTTTGCAAAACCTGGTATAACTATCATACAGATCTTTCTAAATTACACAAAAGTTAAAAGCAAATGACAAAAAGGAAATAACCATCATCATACATATGCAAAAGAAGGATGGTCATTTGTACATTGACATTCTAGTAAATTCTAGCAGACATAAATGAAAACTTTACTGTTTTTTATTATATGTAGGTCTTTTATTATATTTGTGACTGCAAAACGTAATCCCATTTAAGACGTAGGATGTAAAAGTAATTCCTCCAACTACAGTCTGAAAAAAATGATCAGGATCTGAGCCACACTTGGTAAGACATTCAAATCTCTTAGAGGCCAGAAATGAGCATCCAGCAGTACCTGTCAAGAGAACACATCCTTTTTTTTTCTCTGCTAATCGCTAGTTAGCATTTTCAGAGAAAGGCTGTGGTTGCAGGCACTGGTGATGAGGAACCACACTCTGGAGGTGATCAGGTCAGCGTCTCCTGCTCAGGCTGAGCCTCCTGCTCAGCAGAGCCCCCAGCAGCCAGCTGCCCAGCACTGCCTCTGCCTGGGTTCTGCAAGCACAACCTCTCCGGGCAGCCTGAGTCCTACCACTGACTATCCTCACAGGAAAAAAAATAATTATCTCATGTTCACAGCATTTAGACTGTGCCCATCACCTCATGCCCAGTCAATGGGCACTACCAAGATGGGTCTGGCTCCCTTTTCACTCCCTTCCACCAGCTATTCATACAGACAGAAGTCTCCTCCAGACTAACCAGCCCTACCTCTCAGCCTCTCCTTGCTACAGGCCTTTCTGGCCCTATGTTTCACTTGAACCAGTGTGCCCGTGCCTTTCCTGCTGGGGACCACAGAACAGGGCCCAGCACCCAGATACGTCTCACTAGCGTTGAGGTGCTGGCAAGTCTCCTAATGCAGTCCTGGCCTCCTATGCCACAATCACACTTCACTGGCTCATGGTCAGCAGCTTCTCTGCATGGGTCCCCAGTGCCTTCTCTGCAGAGGGGCTTTCAACAGGCAGTTCACCAGCACGTACTGCTGCCTGGGGTGCCTGCAGGGGCAGGACTCTGCATTTCCTCTGACTGAACTTCATGAGATTGCTCTCTGCTCATTTCTCCAGCTGACCAAGTCTATGTTAACGGCAGCACAACCATTCATTGCATCAGTCATTTCTCTCCACTTTCTATCATCTGTGAGCTTGCTGAGAGAGCACTCTGTTCCATTGTTTAGATCATTCATTAAGATTTTAAATATCACTGCTGACTGGCCTCTGGTCAGGCTGTGCATCACTGACCACCGCCCTCCGGACCCAACTGTTCTTTCAGTTTTCAATCCACCCACTGTACATTTAACCTGCACTTTGCCAGCTGGCTTTATATTCTCCTGCAGATGTAAATTTAAAAACTTTCTCCTTCACTACACACCAAGTAAAAGCAGGTGGTCCGCTTTATTCCAGTAAAAGAAGGACCCACCCATATTTGAACCAGGATAAACATGCCCCTACATTTAGAACAGGCAAAGACAATTGTGCTATTTTAAAAGTCCAAATAGAGGTAACTAGTCTGAACCAAACTGTGTTGACAAAAATAATAACAACTCAAATTACGGCTTTAGTTTTGCCCACTGACCCTCATCTTCTGAATGTCAGATACACATGGATCGTGAACAGCTGCAGAAGGTTTTGGTGAACATTTATATGAATTAAACTCCAGGAAATCAAAGTGTATTCTAATGTCAGAGACAGTATCTACTAATCTCTTGCATGGATGACCTTTTACACATTAAAAACAAAAAACAAAAAAACAGAAACATCCTGCCCTTTGAGAACCTGTCTAAATGGTGTCAGCCAGTCAATTCTGTTTAAGTTAGTGGCACTTTTCTCATTAGCTTCAAAAGCAGCTGCAGCAGCAGCAGGACAAACATACATGATAAGGCCGTGACCCTATAATTTATTCTGCACAGGCAGATCTCTTGCTACCCTGCTGCTGCCACTGTCAAAGCCAATGTCTAAATGCCAAGGAGAAATTGTTTTGACTTTTAATATGTACACACATGACTGAGACACAAGCAGGCACTTAAAAAGTATGTGAAAGGAAAACGCCTGCTGCACAGTCACTAACTCTTACCTGTGCATGTCCTACATATAAGCTTTTTAAGCATCCTTTTAGCAAAATTTAAGTCAGTGTATTAACTTTCCATACACACACAGCAGCAATAGCAGTAACTATGTGTTAATTATGTGACTTTCCTATTTATTGTTCCACATGGAGACCAGCAACACACCTATCAGCATAGTATTACGCTATTGCTAGCAGAGAAAAGATTTAAGAATGACATGAGGAGTTCAAGTGAACCTAAATAATAAGTATTTTGGTATAAATTCTTGATGTGTATGCAAACAAACAAGCAACAAGAAGTTTACACATCTTCTGAAAGAAGCTACATTTCTTCAGTTGAAAATGAAATGAAGAATCCTGTGGAAGGAAGGAGTTTTGGAGTGGACAGGAAGAAATCAGCTTCTGTTCAGGCACAGAATAGCATCCAGCCCAGAACTGTTGACAGCCAATATCCAAACAAACTCAGGAAAAAAAAAATTCCCTTTCTCCCATAAGCACATTTGGACAGGCACGCACAGGAGGAAGCTTCTCCTCTGAAGTAAAGATCAGAGCATGAGCGGCACAGGCTAACTTCCGAAGTCTCTTGACAACTGACACCCAGGACAGATAAGTCTCAGACAATGACAAGCAAGGTAAGATTTCAGAGCCAGGGTTTCTCAGATGCTACATTGCTGAAGACCATGCTGGCCCTGCAAGAAGGTCCATCAAAAGAGCTCATGACAATTCTGTTTTGCCTCACAGCATTCCATCTCTGCAACTTGATATTTGCTTCCCATCCTTTCCTACAGCCATTCCTCTTTGGACTAGTTTTCTCTCAAGCATGGTGCAGGAGGCCCATCATCAGCTGTATCTGATAGCCTTCCATTCCCTATTCCTCCAGAGGAAATCCCACCACCCCCTCTGTCCTCTCCCCTGACAACCATGCAGGAGATTAGTCCTCACTACTGACTTCTACAAGTACCACCAGCTCCACTGCCTCACAGTTGGGAATAAATCAGCCCTGCTGCCCAGGCTCCCTGCCACTGTGGCCTCCGATTGAAAGAGGCAGCTGCCCTCCTCTCCCCTCCATGTCACCTCATCCCTCATCCCCAGCTCTCTCTTCTCGGCACTTTCAGCAGGCTGACACCTCGCAGGGGAGCCGCAGGTATTCTACAGCATCCCCTGGCCTTCCAGAGGCCACGCACACCTGGGGACTTTACACCATGATGCAAGCCCACACAGTGAGATGCCATTATCTGGAGCTGCAGGAGAGGGACAGGAACTCTGTGGAGAAAATACACCACCTTGATCTTCAGAGGAACTGTGCAGTGAAGGAGCTATAAGCAAACAGGTGTACTCCCACAGCTTTCAGAGGCCAGGCAGCTCCGAAATCCTGTTATGAGAGCAGCCAAAGGGCGTCTTCTAGAAAGACTTTGTACACTTCAAATGGGGTAGAGGAAAGCGAATTCCATTGGACAGTCCCCTAGAGACTGGAAACTGAGAATAAAAATCAAAAATAAGTTAACACAAGGAGTCTCAAGAAACAGCACGTCCCTCCCACAAGCTCATTCAAGGACCAGCATCTCCTGGTGTAGCACCCAGCTGGAACGTGGTTCCACTGCCAGCTGCTGGAGGGAGAGAGCTGCAAGGCTCACCTCTACCCCTGACTACAGCCTCCTCTGAGAGCTCCCAGTGCACAACAAGGCAAAGTCAAAGTCTACACAGAATTCCCCCACCTGGGCAGGTAACAAAGCTGTTTGTGAATTTAAATACATTTGAGGGATTCCAGAGGGTACTTGGAGCAGAGAGTCTGAAGAAATCATGGAACCTAACAACAATAAAAAAGAATAGGCCTGTCCTTATGGATGCAAGGGCCTGTGTAGAGACACAGTCACAAATAATACTCACCACTGTTAGTCCTACAGTTACTTTATGCTGTAACTGTTGAGCACAGTCCAAGTTCTTCACACGGACACAACTAAAAACTAACAAACTGCTGCAATGCAAAATGTGTTAATTCGTACCTTGTGCCTGGAATACCCCTTACTCCTCAGATTTCAGGCATGGGTCTAGCACACATACCCAATACACCAAATATCTGAGTTCTGCTGCAATCTCATACAACCACCTTCATGTGAAATCAATCCTTTCTGCAAGGCTTATTTGCTACATAAATGCATTTCTACACTGGGCACCTGCTTGAGCTAGTGCTAGGCGTGCCAGGACAGCCGTGTGATGATGGCTGAAAGCTGGCTCTGTGCTATTTCTGAACAGGCAAAGGCAACAGGGACCCGCTCCAAAAGGCGGCAGAGAGGAACCCCCGTGGTTCTAAAGTGCATTTGCAAGAATCAGGTATGAGAGTCTTTCATGAGAAGCAAAAAGTGGAGGCAGCCACAGCTGGAAATGGGGTCTGTTTTAGTCCTGAGTGTGTTCTCCACTTTCATTTATGAATGCCATAACCCAAAGTTGTAACATCTAACAAGGCACACTATTTAGCTCTTTACAAAACCTACTTTTGCAGCTTACATGGCAGTTGAAAACTCCCAAGAGCAAATATTCGAGATACTAGACAGTGAATGTAATAGAAAAGTAACCCAAAATAAATTTGCTTATAGAAACTAACAATCTTTCCTCAATAGACCATACTTAGTTGAATGTATGACTTCCTCTGAAAGTTAGCTTCCTGTTATTTTTTTTTGAACTGAAACCCCCATGTACCAGTTAATGATGGTTTT